TGGCTTTTGCCTCTAACATTCTAAACAGTTTGCTCTTCTGAGGTAAAATGTGTCCAATCTCCAGGTGAGGGCTGGAGATCACTCAGAATTACAACTGCTTTCCAGACGGCTCTAGAGCCGTCCTTCCTGAGCTAAAACAAAAAGGTGTGAGCTAGCTCACACTACCTCAGCTTAGAAGGAACACTGTTGCCAACTCCAGGTGGGAAATTCCTGGAGAAGTGAGGGATGGAGCCTGGAGAGGGTGAGGTTTCAGGAGGCGTGGGACCTCAGACAGGTACAAAGCCATAGACTCCACCCTCCAAACCAACTATTCTTTTCTGGGAAACCATCATTGCCAATCTCCAGGTGAGGGCTGAAGATCACTCAAAATTAGCAGAGATCAGTTCCTCTGGAGAAAATGGTGGACTCAGTGTCATTATACCCTGTTGAGGTCGCCACAGCAAATTGACACTGAGTGTCCAAGGCCGGGGCACCCGCCCCGAGCCTCTTTCTAGAGGCCGCTGTATTTATTTCCACAACGGGCCTTTTTCCTAGTTTTTTATAATGGTCAAAGCAATCTACTCTAAACAACATGCAAAGATCCTTATTAATGAAGGCTTATCACAAAGCGTTGAAATACAAAAAGGAGCCAGACAAGGTTGTCCACTTTCACCATTATTGCTTATATTTGTATTGGAAATTCTGAATGATACCATCAGAGAAGATAGACGCATCAGAGGACTTAAAATAAGAGAAGAATATAAACTACAAGCGTTTGCAGGTGATCTGGTATTTATTTTAGAAAATCCATTGGACTCAATTACACAGTTATTAATAACACTACAGAAATATGGTCAGGTTGCGGATCTGAAGATCAACTTGACTAAAATAAAAATGTTAGTAAAAATATGACGAAAAACCAAACCCAGCAGTTACAGGAGAAATCAGGTTTTGAAGCACAAAAAAAGAGTGAAATATTTAGGTAAAGATGTAGCTCTTTGGTAAAAGATAACTACATGGAACTTCTGCAGGAAATCCAAAAGGCCTTGGAAAAATGGGAAAGCCTACAAATAACCTTGATGGGCAGAATAGCCACAATAAAAATGAATATTCTACCAAGACTGATATTTTTATTTCAAACAATCCCAATCCTGCAAAATCAACAATACTTTAAAGACCTGGATAAAATGCTGTCTAACAGAACAAGAAACCAAGAATAAAAATGAAGGCCCTACAAGGTGCAAAAGAAAGAGCTGGATTTGCATTACAGGTTACAAAGTTCTCAAAGAGATGGGACATGGTGGTCATGGGAGATTTCAATTACTCGGATATCTGTTGGAAGTCCAACTCTGCTAAAAATGAAAGGTACAATAAATTCCTGACTTGTCTTGCTGACAGCTTCATTTTCCAGAAAGTGGAGAGGGAAACAAGGGAATCTGCCATCTTGGACTTGATTCTTACCAACAGGGAAGAACTGGTTGACCAAGTGAAAGGAGTGGGCACCCTGGGTAGTAGTGGCCATGTAATTTTGGAATTTACAGTCTTGGGGAAGGAAAAAGCTGTACATAGTCAGACATATAGGTTGGACTTCAGGAAAGCACATTTTGACAAACTTAAACTAATGCTGGGTAGAATCCCATGGTCAGAAATACTTAAAGAGAAGGGAGTTCAAGAGGGATGGGAATTTCTTAAAAGGGAAATACTGAAGGCACAACCACAAACCATTCCTATGAGGAGGAAAAATGGGAGGAGCCTAAAGAATCCAAGGTGGCTCCATAAACAGCTTTCTAAAGACTTGAGAAATAAAAAAGACTCATTTAGAAAGTAGAAGGAGGACCTTATAACCAAGGATGAATATAAATAAATAACCAGTACTTGTAGAGAGAGAGTTAGGAAAGGTAAAGCTCAGTATGAGCTTAGGCTAGTGAGAGATGCTAAAAACAACAAAAAAGTGTTCTCTTCTTATGTGGGGACAGGAAAGTGAAATTGTAACAGGTGATGAAGAGAGGGCAGAACTGTTCAATTCCTACTTTTCCTCGGTCTTCCCTTGCAAGGGAAACAGTGCTTAATATGGCAAAAACAGAACATATGATGAGGGAAGGGAGTAGTACATCAGTACCTAGTTTCTTTAAATGAAACTAAGTTCTTGGGGCCAGATGAGCTGCATCCAAGGGTACTAAAAGGACTCATGGATGTAATTTCTGAGCTTCTGTCCATTATTTTTGAGAATTCTTGGAGAACAGGTGAGGTGCCAGAAGACTGGAGGTGGGCAAATGTTTTCCCCATCTTCAAGAAGGGGGAAAAGGAGAATCCGGGTAACTACTGACCCATCAGTTTGACATCTATACCTGGGAAAGTTTTAGAACAAATAATCAACCAGACAGTCCTTGAGCATTTAGAAAGGACAGCTGTAATTACCAAAGCCAGCATGGGTTTTTCAAGAACAAATCATGTCAGACTAACCTTATCTCCTTTTTTGAGAAAGTTACTACCTTGCTGTATCAGGGGAATACTGTAGACATAGTTTATCTTGATTTTAGTAAGGTTTTTGATAAGGTTTCACATAATATTCTTGTTGACAAATTGGAAAAATGTGGTTTGGATTCTATGACTGTTAGGTAGATCTGTAACTGGTTGACAGATCGCACCCAAAGAGTGCTTGTGGTCCCGGTTCACACATGCCAGAAAACGCGGGGGGGAGGGGGGAGCAAAGCTATTTCTGCCACGGTAATTTGACCTGCTGCTGCGTGATCCGACGCAACAGCGGGTGAAGCAGATTTTTTTCCTTGCAGCCTGCTTCTGGTGTGCTTCTTCAAGGGATAAGTGACGCAATTGGAGCACGCTGGGGTGATCACACTGGCAACTGCATCCTCCGCCCGTCGCAACCTCGTTTGATAGTGTACTTTCCCTGGTTGTTTTTTACTCCGCTTCTTCGGATGACTGCTACGGGTTGCCGGCGGGTGCAGGATGCTTGCCAGATGTGTCCGTGTGAACACGCCCATAAAATCTGGCTGGCATCCGTGAGTATCACTCACGGCGAAATCTGCGTGTGATCAGGACCTCTGGATGGTTTCTCAGCTGCATGTGGAGGAGTTGGGAATCACACCCTGTTCTCCTAGATTAGAGTCCGTGCTCCTAACCACTACAACCAAACTGGCTGAGTGACAAGTGGCGTGCTTCAAGGATCTGTCCTGGGACCTGTTTTGTTCAATATCTTTATCAATTATTTGGATGAAGGGATAGAGGGAATGCTTATTAAATTTGCAGACGAAGGTATAGATAGGGACTCTGGGGCAAGTGATGCTCTGTATTCTTGGTGCCTGGACCGGCAACAGTGGGAGGGCTTCTAGTGTCCTGGCCCCACTGCTGGACCTCCTGATGGCACCTGGTATTTTTGGCCACTGTGTGACAAGGTGTTGGATATTCTTATGATACTAAATTGGGAGGGTAGCCAATATGGAAGAAGACAGAGTCAGGATACAGGATGATCTTGACAGGCTTGACAGGCTGAAAAACTGGGCTAAAACAAATAAAATGAATTTCAGTGGGGATAAATGTAAAGTTCTGCATTTAGGTAGGAAAAATTAAATGCATAATTATAGGAGGGGGGAGACTTGTCATGGCAGTAGTATATGTGAAAAGAATGTAGGGGTCTTAGTAGACCATACACTGAACATGAGTCAGCAGAGTGATGTGGTTGCTAAACAGGCAAATGCGATTTTGGGCTATATCAACAGAAATATATTGTCCAGATCATGCAAAGGGATGGTATCACTTCACTCTGCTCTGGTCGGACCTCACCTAGAGTGCTGTGTTCAGTTTTGGGCACCACAATTTAAGAAGGATATAGACCAGCTGGAACGTGTCCAGAGGAGGGCAACGAAGATGATGAGCGGTCTAGAGACCAAGTCGTATGAGGGAAGGTTGAAGGAGCTGGGTATGTTTAGCCTGGAGAGGAGACAACTGAGAGGTTGTCTGAGATTACCATCTTCAAGTACTTGAAGGGCTGTCCTATAGAGGATGGTATGGAGTTGTTTTGTGTTGCCCCAGAAGGTCGGACCAGAACCAACGGGTTGAAATTAAATCAGAAGAGTTTTCGGCTAAATATTAGGAAGAACTTCCTGACAGTTATAGCGGTTCCTCAGTGGAATAGGCTTCCTCGGGAGGTGGTGGGCTCTCCTCCTTTGGAAGTGTTTAAACAGAGGCTCCATGACCATCTGACAGCAATGCGGATCCTGTGAACTGAGGCAGAACACGAGAAGGGAGGGCAGGAAGGGTTGCCTCAGTGCTTAGTTCTCGTGGCCCTTTCTTACACGCCTGGGGGAATGCTGATTGTCATTTTGGGGTCAGGAAGCAATTTTTCTCCAGGCCGGTTTGGCCCCCAGGGATCCTGGAGGTTTTTTTGTCATCTTCTGGGCGTGGAACAGTGGTCACTGCAGGTGCGGAAGGGGAGGTAGTTGTGAATTTCCTGCCTTGTGCAGGGGGTTGGACTAGATGACCCTGGAGGTCCTTTCCAACTCTATGATTCTATGAGGGCACCTAACCAACATCTCTGAAAAGTGTGGGAGTATCAAACTCTTAAGAGAAAAGGGGGGGGGTGGGGTTACATGCTTCTTAATTATGAGTTGCCTCAAGTGTTCCTTCTGTGTAGCAGCCCCGACTAGCCCAACCTCCTCCGATCTCAGGCGCGAAGGAGGGCTGGCCCTTGGGAGGGGGGAGGCCCGCGAAGGAAGGCAGGGGCTGCTGTGCAGGCAGAGGCCAGGGCAAACCCCTCTGCTCACGGAGAACCCCTGGCTGGGGGTCACCACAAGGAGACTGGGACTAAGGGGCACACACACACACGCACGCAGCCACAGCCAGTAAAGGAACCATTCGCGGGGCTAGTTGCAGAGCGGCTTCTGGCCCTTCTAGTAAACTTATAGGGTTCAGGCTGCTATCCTAATACATGAGGGAAGGCCAGGAAAACGGAAACAATCCACCAGTGTATTTCCACTTCTCCCCCCCCACCCCCCCACCTGCAGCACCTGGGGATTTCACGACAAGGACGTTGCCTGGTGCAGTGGGCCTGGGTCTCTCCAGAACTCCTACAGCTGAGATTGAGCGCGGCCTCTGCAGGACAACCACGTCATCTCCAGCATCCCAGGTAACGTGCTTGGGACATCCCAGGAGGAGGAGGAGGAGGGTTATGATGTTAGTCAGACACCCAATTCATGTGTGGAAATGGAAAAGCAACAACAAACACTTGCTTTGGATGGAGTGTTCTTTAAAGCTCAGCATTAGTAATAAGAGCAGCTAGGAACGCTTGAAGCCTTTCACCTCCATAGTTAGAAGACTGATTACCTTTTATTGTTCTGCAGTCGATTACATGAAAGTATATCATTAATGAATGTAAAGTGGACTGAGTAGGTGTGAAATGTAGACCAGGCGCACTAGGAACAGAAAGTCAGATTTTCAGATTCAGAAAGGAGATTTTACATTTTAAGAAGGATACTGCCAGGTTCCCAGTAAAATTCCACTCTCAGTCCACGATTCTTTTTAAAGAAAGGTTTATTAGGAAAAGAGATTTGGATAGTGGCAAGGATGAACTCCTTGCTAAGACTGAAGCAGAAAGCGAAAGTGACTCCAGGTATAGTCAAAAGATATATTCCATAGGTATGTCATTCACACACACCACTTTCTTCGGGGGGGGGGGGGGGGGGGGCAAGGTCCAGCCAAAGTCCCCGAAAGGACTCCGTGTGCAAATCTAGTAACTGATCCTGAGGCACTTGTGGGTCGTGCTCAGCCAAGGCCTGTCCTGTGAGGGTGAACATAGAACGAAGAGAACCCTGGTGTTTATTGCTGGTTTTGTTTTCTTACTGTGGCCTCTTTGGCCCAGAATTCTGTAGCCCCGTTTTCCATGAGGATATCTTTCTGAATGTGGCAATCTCTCTGCAGGTGCCATACCCCAGAAACCGTGGCTTGGAGCCAGAAGAAGAGATGTACAGTGCAGAGAACTTCCGTCGCATTGCCCGTAGTCTCAGTGGAACCGTCGTCTCCAGCAGGGAAGAGGTGCTTCCCTCTTCCCACAGCTTTGTAAGTCCAGAGGGGTCAGGGACTGATATGTTTTTTGTCCTTCAGCATTGGCATAAACAAGGGGCACGTGCACTCCAGCAGTCTTTTCTTGAGAGGCATGCCTAAGTATTGCCTCTCTTTTGATGGATGCACCATGAGGTTGTAGAACTTCTCGTTGAAGTATTTTTGCTCTATGCCCTGTTTCTTCCCAGCTGGTACCAGTATTCTCCAATGCCCTCTTTTCACCATTTTTACTCAGATTTGCCTCCCCCCCTCCCCACAAGTTGGCCATCACCAGCCGAGAAGGCATGGTTATAGACTGTGAACCCTTTTTAAAACAATTGGCATCTCATTGATTCCGTCCTTTTGCCTCTGTTATCCTGAAGGTATGCTGGTCCCTGACCGCTAAGGGCTTTAAAGGTCAGCACCAGAACCTTGAACTTGATCCGGTCCTCAATCTGGAGCCAGTGCAGCTGACAGAACACCAGTTGGGTGTGCGCTCTGGAGGGCGTTCCTGTCAACACCCTCGCAGCTGCCTTCTAGACCGGTTGCATTCTCTCGATCAACCTCAAGGGGAAGCCCTACGTAGAGCGAGTTGTAGTAATCCAGCCCGGAGGTGGCCGTTGCATGGATCACTGTGGCCAGGTCAGAGGGTGACAGGGACGGGGCCAACTGTTTAACCCGGCAAAGGTCGTAGCACACCAGCTTAACCCCATTGGTGGCTGGGCCTCCATTGAGGAGGAGGCATCCAGAATATCTCCCAAGCAATGTTCCCTCTAAGCTGTGAGGTCTTGTGAGCAAAAATTCTACCTTGTGAGCTCCCGGCCTTAAAGTTGTGAGTGAGTGATTTGGCTACTACATAAATTAGTTTGCTTTGCAGTCATCTCTCCTGAGCTAAAACAAAAACCTGTGAGCTGATGGCTAAAAAACTGTGAGCTAGCTCACACTAACTCAGCTTAGAGGGAACACTGCTCCCAAGGTCTTGACAAATAGTCCCGCTGTTAATGGCATCCCATCAAGAGAGGGGAGTTGGCAAGCCCTCTCAGCCCCCCCCCCCGGCCCAGCCACAAGACCCCCCGTCTTCACTGGATTTAGTTTCATCCTACTCTGTTTTAACCAACCAACCAGGCCCTCCAAACCCCTGGCCAGATGTTCTGGGGTGGCCTCTGGCCGGCCACTCATCAGCAGACAGAGCTGGGTGTCGTCCGCATACTGGTGACCCCCCAGCCCATGACTCCGTGCCAGCTGGGCAAGGGGGCGGATAAAGATGTTGAATAACTTTGGGGGGAGGATAGCCACTTGGGGAACTACAACATACCAATGGGTATTGCAGTGAAACCCTCTTCCCTAGCGCCACCCTCTGTCCCTAGCCTTGGAGAAAGGAGGTAAACCACTGAGGGCTGTCCCCCGGATCCCCACCTTGATGAGGCGGTGGGTCGACCATGTCAAATGCTACTGATAAGTCCAGCAATGTCAGCAGCACTGACCCGCCTTGATCCAGCTGTCTGTGGAGATCCTCTGTGAGAGCGACCAGCGTGTCAGACTCTCAGACGCAATAAGTCCTTTGATTGGCTTTATTGTAGAAAATCAGAAGAGTTGCATACAAGTCAAACGCTTTGACAGAAGTGACAAATAGTTCAAAGTTGGAATCCACAAGACCTTTGGTCCAGCCCTCATACATACGTCAGCATTGCATAGTAAATAGGCAGGTTAATACAGTTCAATTAACTCAATGTGGATGTTTATCGATTGATACTCTCCCAAGGCCATGAGCAATAAGAATAGCGACACTCTCCCCTAGCCTTCACGGGGGAGGCACCACTTCACAGGGTTTCCTAAGCGTAGCTATCAAAGTTCACACAGGCCGGTCTCAGTCTCTCCTTCCCAGGAATGTCAGAGGAGGATCCTTGCTGACAGATTGAAAGCCAGCTGGCAGGGGCTACATGGGCTTGGGAACTACGAGCAGGGAAGAAAGGCACAAGCAAACGTGATAACATTCAGCAGAGCGAAGCTGTGTACCTCAGAGACTCAGACATGACCAGGCAAGGGTCCGATTCTGACACAGAGCCCTCTCCTCCGCGTGGCCAGGGCGGAACCCAGACTGGAAGGGATCCGAGGCTGAGGCTTCATCTGAGAGAGCCTGGAGCGGCACCACCACTGCGCTCTCCACTGCCTTTCCCAGGAACAGTACGTTCAATCCTGGGTGGTCGCTGGCCAGATCACTAGGATCTAAAGATGGTTTTTTCAGGAGCAGCCTAACCACCACCTCTTTCAAACTCCCCAGGAAGACCCCTGAACACAGGGACAGATTTATAATGCCCACCGGTGTTCCCTCTCAGCTGAGTTAGTGTGAGCCAGCTCACAGTTTTTTAGCCTCCGGCTCACACATTTTTGCCTTAGCTCGGGAAGGAGGGCTCCAGAGCCCACTAATTCATGCAGTAGCCAAATCACTCACTCACAACTTTAATGCCAGTCGCTCACAAAGTAGAATTTTTGCTCACTAGACTCCACAGCTTAGAGGGAGCCTTGACGCCCACCAAGGGAGCCTGCGTCCCATCACCACTGGCCATAACCAGCCACGGCAGGCGTGGGTCAGAGAGAGAAGTGGTGGCCATCACAGCATCCAGGACCTTGTCCACCTCAGAGCAGGTTCGTATCAACATTAGCGGGCAGATCCTGGCGGAGCGGCAAGGCTTCATCCACACAAAAAAGCTCACAATCACCTCGCAGCTGATGGCTGAATCCCTAGTATTTTGTGATCTTTTAGTGAGAGATGTTGAAGACTGAATTAATCATAGAATCATCGAGCTGGGACCTCCAGGGTCATCCAACCCCCTGCACAATGCAGGAAATTCACAAATAATCTTCTCAACCAGAGTCTTCATTGATGAAACTGTCCAGCCATTAATCCCAGGGACTATCAGTGGAAAACCTTTCGCCTTAGGACATGAAAATGAACCATCTCCAGACACTACTGGCAATGATTCAAGCTTATTCCAAAATGAGGAAAGGAGATTGCCTAAATTACAAATTAGTTCATGTATGACTAGGAAAAATAGAACAGCTGTATCCTGTAAACTCTCCTAGAATATCTTCTTTGGAAGAACAAAGGTTTTTTCTACACTGGAGAGATTGAAGAAGTCACTACAGCTCCTTCACACTACAGCTGAATTCCTTAATTTATTATCCCTGGGAGACAACTGCCTAACAACAAGTCAAAGACGTGGGATGAAAAGGTGAAACATCAGCATTCTGCCATCTTGCCTGCTCAAGAGCTGGAGCGTAAGTCAGCAGTGGGGGTATTCCAACACAGGGGAGTGTGACAAGGGACAAATCCTGCCACTGCTGCAAAGGGGAGCAACAGTGCAGCCCAGTAAAAATGCCTTTTATGTCCTGAGAGTGAAGACCACCCCTCAGGGGCAGCAGTACTCAAATCCTAGGAGTTTCTCAGCACCTAGACATTACCCCTAGAATTCGCCTACACCACAGCTGGCAAGAGGTTCGTTGGGTTTGGAAAATGAGGGGAAACTTGTTCACATTTGTATTATTTAAATAAACTCTTCTTTAAAAATAAAAGAAACACACATGGGGGTGGGATCCAAGGGTGCACCTGATGTTGGTATTTGCATGCTTCCCGCAGCTTAGCCTGGTGTGGGGACCAGGCTGTGGGCTAGTAGTGAAACTTAAGAACGTAAGAGAAGAAAGTTGTCGGATGCACAGTAGCCAAACTCCGACCCCTGACATCTCTGAATATCTTAAAATCATTCAGATTGACATACCGGATTGTAAACCTGAGCATGGGGAAAGTTGGAGTTCTGGACAATATCCATGACGTCTTACAACCATTAGCTGATCAGCTGGAAAACATACAAACATCCTTACAACAAACATAAGTGGCAGAAACAGATATGGGGATGGCTAACCAAGAAAACATGAAAAACATGAAAAATGGGTGAAAGAAAAAATATTATTCTTAGAAAACAAAACGAAAGAAAGAAAACTGAAATTTTGCGGATTTATGGAGCACGTCAAGGGATCCACAGAACTGACCATTTTTCATTGCATCTTGGCTGTCGTCAGTACTCTAGCTGGAGGACGGACTAGCTCCTCTAATATTAAAGGCATACAGAGCTGGTTCTATCTAGTCCCGCAGCATAAGAGGACTGAGAGAGGTTATAATCAAGGTATCCGACACGTGAACAAAGCAAAAGATCCTACAAACCTCAAGTGAGAAAGGAGGGGTTTTTTATACCAAGATTCCAACATCTTTGTCTTCCCAGGTTTATCAGTAGAAACATTACAGATACGGTGCACATTAAAGCCAATAACTTCTAAATTACTCAAAGCTGGGATCCAATACAGATGGCTACCATCAGGCATGATACAAGTCCACCATCGCAGTAAGACTCTCAACACAGAAGATCTGGACAGAGGATATCAACTGCTTTACTCTCAAAATTTGGAAACACCCAAAGACTTCTTGAGAAAAGGCAAAAAGGGAAACTAAATTGTACATCAAAAAGTAAGATACCTGTGAGAAAAAGTAAAAAAAAAAACAACAACCTCTTGTTGAACTGTTTCTTCAAATGTTCTAAAACACATGCAGCTTGAATAATAATGGCTGCGGTCACACGGAGCATAAGCCACACTTCAGAGATGGAAGAGAGGCGGAGTTTCCTGGCGCGATCACAGGGCAACATCTGGCAAGTGTAGAGCTCCCGTCGGTAACCCGTGGCTAAACGCCAAAGCAGCGCAGTAAAAAACTAGTACCGTGGAGGTACTAGTTTCCAGAAACCGCGGGGCAAGGGCGGGCGTATGACCGTGTTTCCGGAGGAAGGTCCAGCGCCTGCCCATGTCCCCTAGCTAAAAGGTTTTTTTTTCGAGTCTCCACGATTGCGCACAAGCACCAAACGGAGCATGCGCAAACGGATGTTTAATTTAAAAAAAAACAACGTACGTCATGCAGAGAAGAGGAGAGCAGCCAGAAGACAGCACCAACGAGTGCATGGCTTGAGGCGGTG